TTATTTTATTTTTTTTTTACTTTATTTTTATTTGTATTTTACTTTATTTGTATTTGCATTTGTTTTTGTATTTATTTTACTTCCACTATTAACATTTCTGTCTCTAAATAAATATATATCCAATTCAAATTAAATTTTTAACAAATTTTTCAACTTTCATTCCACTGTGCCATTTTCTGCAACAGCCAAGTTAAATGCAGAAATTTACTAAGCTAGTTACGTATTAGTTGTTTCTATTTGCATTCTTATCAATCAGTCACAGCTCGGCTTTGCAACAGCTGTTTCGCATTATGACTTCAAACACAGCTGTGCATCTTAGCTAACGTTTCTTATTATTTCATAAGTACATATATATATAGTATATAAATTACTGAATGTGCTACAGAGTCTGATAATTTTTTATCTTTTCTTTTTCAAATGGGCATTCTACTTTTCTACTGCCTACTTTTCGGATAACACACAAATAGGATTATGACTTTGCTAAGCTTTCGAGACGAATTAGGTAGATATATACGCAAAGCTTATAAGGATTATTTATTTACATGTTATTATTGGACTCTCGCAGAAACAATAGTAAAATACAATTGGCATTGACATAACCTCGTTTAGTTCAAGTATTCAATATAAGCTTGAATATTTAATAAATATTAACGTTGTGCACCCGGCTTTTGCGCATGGATTAGTATTAATCTATCAAGGTAAATTGGATGCAATAAAAAAGTAACAACAAATACAAATACAAATACGAGCGTATTTGTGCTAATACCTAGTATAGACCTTTTCGTTGCATAGACAGCGAGTCCCATATTACACATTAGCAATCTGTACGATTGACAGCAAAGCTGGCACGCTGTTGTTGTAATCGATTTTGATAACAAGTGTTTGATAAGCGTAAACCTATTCACGACATCAAATGGCTACACAAATACCAATCAAAATACGAATCTGCCGTGTGCCTTAGAATCGAACTGAACCAATTTGCTGACGCTTAAGGGTTGTCGGAGCTGAATAAAATACGAGTAAATAGATATGAAAATCGAGACAGAGCGAAAAAAAGAACAACGAGTGTGCACCGAATTCGAATGCATACATCAAAGGGCCGACAATTTAATACCCTAGAATATATAAATTATTATTTAAA